TATAAAAATAAACAAATAAAATAAATATATTGTGTCCATCTACAAATAAAAAATATATTTTTAAAAAAGACTGAACATGTTCAGCTTTTTTCGTATTATTCCCTAACCAATGTATGAATTGATTAAATATGAATCATCTAGAGATGATGTAAATGTGCTGGGGGATATGCACAGGTTACATGCAAACTCAAAGCCATTTTATGCAAGGCACTTGATCATCTGTGGATTTGGGTATCAAAGAGGAGTCCTGCAGCCAATCTGCCATTCATATGAGGGATGACTGTATTGGTTTCTCATTGATGCTATAACAAATTACCACAAACTTAGTGGTAACTTATAACTTTAAAACAACACATATGTTGGGCTGGGGATGTGGCTCAAGTGGTAGCGCGCTCGTCTGGCATGCGTGCGGCCCGGGTTCGAGCCTCAGCACCACATACAAAGAAAGATGTTGTGTCAGCCAAAAACTAAAAAATAAATATTAAAAATTCTCTCTCTCTCTCTCTCACCTCTCTCTTAAAAAAAAAAAAGAAAAAAAACACATATGTATTCTCTTTCAGCTGTAGGTGAGAGGACCCATGTGTTGGCAGGGTTGGTTCCTTCCAGAAGTTTTGAGGGGAGAGTTCATTTTCTTGCCTTTTTCAGCTTTGAGCAGCTGTAGCTACCTGTGTTCCTTGGTTTGGGGCCCTTTTCCCCTTCTTCAAAGGGCACTGCTTCAGTCTTACCTTCTGCCATCGTTATCACCTGCTCCTTTGGCCCTTCCTGTGTTTTTTTTCAGAATGACCTTTGTGACTCTATCAGACCCATCAGCTAATCCAGGACCATCTCCCTCTTTCAAAATCCCTAACATCTGTAGTCTCTTTTGCTATGTGAGATAACTGATGTTCACAGATCCTGAAGATTAGGACACAGACATCTCTGGGGAATTATCACCCAACCTGCCACAGCCAGTGGTGAGCACTATTAGAATTAAAATAGGATGTCCCGATAGGACGCCTAAAGTACTATTCAGGTTGAGTGGTCAGGGAAGGCCTCTCTGGAATCCAAATGACAGGAAAGAACCAGAGGGCTGAGGGCAGGGTGGAGAACATTCCATCCAGGCAGAGGAAATAGCTAGGGAGAAACTCTACAGCAGAAGCCTGGTGTGTCAATGGCTTTTCAAGAATGAGAAAACTGTAAGCCCCATCCTGTCTCTTGGAATCTTTATGGGAACTTTCTCCAAACTTCTGTTCTCAACAGGAACTTCTTTTGTCACAAAACCTGATAGGATACTCCAGGACAGCTGGGAGCAATCACAGGAGGCAGAGAGCCCCTCAGCAACTGCATACCAAGTTCAGAAGACACAGATCCCTAAACAAGAGCTTGTTTTGATTGTGGTTACCAAGATGTTATTGACATGGTTGTTTGCAATTGCACTTTGCAAACTGTGTTAACATAAAACAGGACATTAGGTTATTTCAACTGAAGCAGGAGCTAAAAGAGGAGGGGGTGGCTGTTTGTCCCTCAGGAGGTGTTATGCTGAGATGCTAAGAGACCAGACCAGCTCCTCTTCCTAGGTGTGTGTGTGTGTGTGTGTGTGTGTGTGTGTTTGTGTGCGCGCGCGCGCGCACGCGCGCGCTTTCTTAGCACATACTAAGCTACTGAATGACCCCACAATGGTGACTTTTCTCCATTTTTTTCCTGGGTCATTCCGATACATTGATTCATTTTCCTTCACTTTGAGCATCACATAGTCCAAGAACAACTAAGACTATGGGTTCCCAGGTTTACATGCAATCAACAAACATAGGTGAAGAATCTAATATAAATGGCCTGGAGGGCACACCTATATTTTTACATACAGCAGGATTGACCATACCTCTATTACAGCTTTCATTTTAATCCTTCTTGAATTTTGCCTCCTGCATTAAAGGATGAGTTAAACCTGGTTCCTTCTGCACCCAAACAAGCCCCAAAAGAGTGCCTGGCACAGAATATTGGATAATCAATACTCACTTATACTCACTTTGTTGATGTTTTTCTTCAATAAAGAACTTCCAAGAATCTAAGGACAGAGAGCCCTGAACGGGGGCTGAGATATACTATATATGCCAGGACAGATTAAAAACTGATGATTCTCACCAGGCACCGTGGCACACACCTATAATTCCAGAGACTTGGGAGGATGAGGAGGATCGAGAGTTCAAAGCCAGCCTTAGCTAAAGCAAGGCGCTAAGCAACTCAGTGAGATCCTGTCTCTAAATAAAATACAAAATAGGGCTGGGGATGTGACTCAGTGGTCGAGTGCCCCTGAGTTCAATCCCCAATACTCCCTCACCCCCCAAAAAAATCCGATAATTCTCAAAGACTTCTGAAGGAGCAGGATGATCATAGGAAATTATTTTCTAGGAAATTATTTCCAGAAAGGTATGTTAAATATGACTAAACATCTGTTGGAAGATTTGCATACACTTAATAACCTGGTCCTTCCATCAAATTCCAACCTCGGCAATTAAATTGGGCCATCTGAGATACTCGGAGGCTTTATGGTGGCTTGTTAGTCCCTGTCTCCTCCAGTTCTGACTCACACAGCTGGGCCATGGGGGGTTAAAGGTTAAGCCTCTGCTCTCTCTCCAGCTCCCCGGATGACTGCCCGGCAACCTAAGTGGAATGACTTCATCAGAAGGAAGGCTCAGAAGCCAGTTCTAAGACAAAAGGTGATCTGCAAAGTTAAGGTGGTGATTTTCACATTTAAATAAAAACCGACATACTCTAAGAGCCTAATATGTAATGGTGGTAATTATAAGGCCATAAACATATCCCACATATAGCAAAGGAGGCCTAGTTGGAAAAATTACTAGCCAAATACTGGATACCTATTAAGGAAGGGGGTAGCTGCTTCCTTTGCTTGAAATCCAGGACGATGTGTTATTTCCCCCCAACATCCAAGAACATATAACTGTTTGGTTCCCAAGCGTTATATATTTTATAGCTTGCAAAACCTGATAAGACTGCCCCAGAGTCCAAGTGGATGTGTCTGTTCTAAGTCCAGAGACATCTCATACTTTCGGGTTTCCCATCCCAGTCACACAGTACCTTCATTGTTAGATTTCCTAGTGAACTTTATCCCAGGAGCAGTTTAAATAGCCCCCCTCCCATATTGGGGAGCTGAACCCAGACCTGGTGCATGCTAGGCAAGTGCTCTCCCATTGAGCTACATCTCAGATCCCAGGTGCAGTGTAGAAGCTGTAAGTGATGCAATGTACCTAGATAGAAGTTCAGTATTTCACTGCATAATCATTGCCACTACATTAAAGTATATTCACGAATATTCCATGCATACTAACCTTGTACCAAAGACAGTTTAATAATTAATTATTTTAAAGTACACCAGCACGATTTAAAAAAAAATCAGCAGCTTCAAATAATGGTCACACCCCTCTTTTTTTACAACAAATTGGCATAAAATCTGTGACAATTACGCAGTGGAATATGGTTTTTCAAAAGTCAGAGTTAGCTGGGCGCAGTGGCACACACCTGCAATCCCATTGTTTTGGAGGTGGAGGCAGAAGGATCGTGAGTTCAAAGCCAGTTTCAGTAAAAAAGCAAGGCGCTAAGCAACTCAGTGAGACTTTATATAAAGTACAAAATAGGGCTGGAGATGTGGCTTAGTGGCCGAGTACCCCAGAGTACAATCCCCAGTGCACGCCCCCCCCCAAAAAAAATCAGAATAAGATCTCTTGTCTGTGCTTGGTGGAAGAGTCAGATGCTAAGCAGTGGCTCCTACTGTAAAACGGCTGTTCTGCACCCTCAGGGTCTGGGTCACCCCGACATTAGGTGCACACTCTGGGAGAGGTCCAGAGATGACATCTGCCTCACCCCTGGGCAGGGCTCGGCCCAGGAGTAGACAGAACAAGGAGCCTGAGGGGCCCCACCTGGGAGACAAAGGAAGACAGGCTTCCCTAAAACTCAGCTCACTATGATAAACATAGTTCCACTATGATAAACATAGTTCCAATGAGTTAAAGGTCGAGCTTAAAGGTTAAACACGTACTGCCATTTCAGCTACCAGTTCTGGGCACTCATTCATTTTTTTATATTCCAGGAGCTTCCCAAATTACAGGTGGAAGTCCCCCTTCCTCCACCTAAGAGGGTCATGCCCTCCAGTCTCTAGGTCAGCGAAGGGGTGGGCCGGGAGGCAACGATCAGGAAAATCCTTGCGCCTGGGGGATGCGGGTGCCCCCTTCCTGCGTTACCAAAAGGCAGGGCTTAGGGGAAGAGCTTGCGGAGGACGCGGGCCTCGGAATTCAGTCCCAGCTCCGTGTGGTGCACACAAGGGCTTTATTTAGGACCACAGAGACCCGAATGTCCTCGGTCCAGGTTCCGTAGCACAACAGCGACGCAGCAGCAGACTCTTCACAGGTCCCCGGGTCGCCAGGAGCCCTGGGAGGGCCGCGAGGGGGCGCGC